AGGTGGAGAGTCTGCAGGGGAGCCTCTGTGGGAGGGAACGAGGAGGAGTGAGGAGCGGCGCGCTGCCGCCCCTCGACGCAAGGAATGCAGGGCGGCGCAGGCGAGGGAGGGAGGGCAGGCAGAGACCTGGGAAGAACAGAAACCAGAAAGCGAGAGTGCATGCTATGAAGGCGAGGCAGGGAGGGGTGGCCCAGGCGGTGGTGCCACAGGAGGGTGTCGTGAGACAGCCGGCGACACTCACACTGGGTAGCTACCTGAGCAAACGCGTGCAGCTGGGGAGACAAAGGGGTGGAGCGTGACTCAGTGGTGAGGGTGTACAGACTGGACCCTGGCGCACGGGTGAGCGTGGCCAGGTGGCGGCCAGTCTGGGAGCACGTGCAAATCGCCACACGCTGTCGGCCAGGGGTGAAGGTGTCAACACCCGCATCCTGGAGGACAGCGTTGCTCAACAAGTTCGTAGAGAACGAGGGGAGGTGAAGACCAGACAGCTCACCAGACGGGACCGCTGGACACGAAAGCACAGTGGAAGACCGTGCAAGCACTGGGGCCCCAGAGGGGTCAGCCAGTGAGACAGGATCAGGTGCAGGGAGGGGAGTGACTGTGGTACTGTCGCGAAAGAAACAGCGGGAAGCACCAGAGTCAAGTGTAAAGGTGTGCAAGGCCTGTGCAGGCGCAGTACCAAGGGGAGCAGACTCACAAGCACCTAGTGCTGCAGGGGCTATACCAGGATCCGGCAGCACACACAAGTAGCAGTCACCCTCAGCACTAACAGACAATGCATACATAGCAGCAAGAATAGCCTCATAGTCAAGATCAAAGATTGGTACATCACGCCTAAGCAAGTCTGCCCAGTTGGGGAAGTCAGTAGCATCAGGAAACTTGGCGCGCCAGGCGTCGCTAAGTCGAGCGAAGCAGCACTGCTCAGTGTGAAACCCTGTGCACTGGCGATTAGCGCGGGGACCTGTGCGGATGATATAGGGGCAGCGACCAGGACCCCAAGAAGCCCCACGCCCGGCATACCAGTCAAGAAGCTGCTGGGAAGTGGGGGTCTAGCGCTGACGTTGCTGCTGCTGCTCCTGCTGCGGCTACTGCTGGCCCTGACCACCACTGCCACCACCGCTCCCTCCTCCTCCACCGCCGCTGCTGCCCCCTCCACCGCCCCCAATGCCTCTGCCGCCCCCACCACCACCTCCACCACCTCCACCCCCACGACCACCCCCACCACCTCCACCGCCCCCACCGCCTGCACCACTGCCACCTCCACCGCCGCCCCCACCTGCCCTGCCACCTTTGCCGCACCTGCCGCTGCGACGCTTCCCACTAGGAGCGGAAGCAGCCCCGACCTCCTCAGCACCAAGGTAGTCGTGAGCAGCAGCTGCGGAGGCGTAGGAGGGGGTGAGAGGGGAGGGGGAGCACCCCTCAAAGAGGGGAGAACACGGAGTACCATGAGCAGCACCTACAGCGAGAATGTTCTTCTCTGCTGCTAGGAGGTGCTTCTCGAAGTCGTCGACAGTGAGAGTAGGGGGGTCAAGCGCTAGGAAGTGGTCCCTGACCGAGCTAAGAGTGTCAGGGAGGCGGGTGACGAGGAAATAGAGAGTGAAGTACATCGCGGGGGGGGGGGGGGGGGTTGCGGCGAAGAACTCGGCTGAAAGGGCGGCACAAAAGCGGGTGTCAGTAGTGCGCAGGTGAGAAATGAGGTCCTCAGCAGTGGTGAACGAGGAAAGGTCGGGGAACAGGTAGGGTAGCATGAGCCGACCTATGGCTGCAGTGGCCGGGGACGAGTAGCGCGCAACTACAGCGTCGTACAGTGTCTTAGCAGTTTTGTGCTAGCTGAAATGCGCTCCCTTAGGAATCGGCAGATGGTTCCTAATAGCTAGGCGTGCTGCAGCATCGCCAGTCTGCCACTGTGAGCGTTCAAGAGTAGGAGCATCGGCAGCAGGGGCAACGACAGTGCCAGAGACGTAATAAAACAGTGAGAAACCCTCTTTAGCATCAGTCAGAAGGAACAGTTGCAGGTCGTCGAGCCACACTCCGAACTCTATGGGGCGACCGTCAGGCTCAAACGCAAGAACATTAGGCGTCGTCATATCGGCCGCAGGCAAAGGCAGAGACAGCAGGCAGAGACAGCAGGCAGTAGACAAGAGGCAGCAGGCAGTAGACAGGAGGCAACAGGTAGTGGACTGCAGGCTCAGACAGAGGCACTAGGCAGTAGGCAACACAGGCAACGTGCTGGGTAGTAGCAGGCCGCAATCAACCTCCTAAGGTGGCGCTCTAGACAGTAGTAGGCCGTGCAACCCTAAGGCTCGAACCCATATGTTTGACAGCTGAGCTTGTTGACTTTGCTGCTGCCTGTCGTCTCGACTACGCCGCTAGTCTTGCTGCTGAGTCTGAGTCTGTCTGTCCTCCGTCCGTCGGGGGTGAGTGTGCTCTTGGCACGGACGTCCTTGAGGACAGGCAGGACTTTGACTATTTTGCAGCTGCTGTACCTCATCGCGTGTCCATGTTGATTGCACCAGAGGGAGACCCGGATGCACCAGACATCCCGACCCCGAGCTCTTACCCTGAGGCGATTGAGGGTCCCTACTCCTCTTAGTGGCAGTCAGCCATGGACGTAGAGATGGCTTCCTGGAAGTCCACAGGCACTTACGTTGACGAAGTTCCCCCACCTGAGGCGAACATCGTCGGTGGCATGTGGATTTTCAGGGTGAAGCGGTCGCCTGGTTCTCCGCCTGTTTTCAATGCGCGTTACGTTGCACGAGGCTTCAGTCAGCGACAGGGAGTTGACTTCTTCCAGACCTTCTCCCCTACCCCGAAGATGACCACTCTTTGGGTTCTGCTGCACGTCGCCGCTCAGCGTGACTACGGGCTTCACTCGCTTGACTTCAGCACAGCTTTCTTGCAGAGCATCCTGCACAAGGAGATCTGGCTGCGCCACCCACCTGGCTTCACTAGGTCGTTTCTTGCAGGTACCCAGTGGAGCCTCCGGCGGCCAGTCTACGGTCTCCGCCAGGCGCCCCGTGAGTGGCACAACACACTGAGGGCGGCTCTCGGGTTTGCTCCTTCCACTGCTGACCCGTCGCTGTTTCTGCGCACCGCCACTTCACTACCGCCATTCTACATCCTCGTGTACGTCGACGACTTGGTCTTTGCCACTACTGACACTGAAGGACTCGCCCACGTGAAGTCAGAGCTGCAGAAGAGACACACGTGCACGGACCTGGGAGAGCTGCGCAGCTATCTTGGCTTGCAGATCACCCGGCACAGAGCACGGCGCACCATCACCCTAACTCAGTCACACATGGTGCAGCAGGTCCTTCAGCGCTTCCGCTTCACATACTCCTCGCCACAGTCCACTCCTCTGCCTACCGGTCACTCGCTCTCAGCTCTGCCTTCGGATGAGTCCGTAGAGCCGAGTGGCCCGTATCCAGAGTTTGTGGGCTGTCTCATGTACCTAATGACTTACACTCGACCTGACCTTGCTTACCCTCTTAGCATCCTTGCACGCTACGTTGCGCCCGGGAGACACCGACCAGAGCACTGGGAGGCCGCTAAGAGGGTGTTGCGCTACTTGTGCAATACGTCGGGCATGGGGCTCGTGCTTGGAGGACGGGCTCGAGTCGTCCTCACTGGTCACATAGACGCTTCTTGGGTTGACGACTTGGCTACGCAGTGGTCGTCACAGGGTTACACCTTCAGCCTTGGCTCCGGTTCTGTTTCTTGGCGGTCTACGCGCTCGTCTTCTATTCTCCGTTCCAGTTGTGAGGCTGAGATCTACGCAGGGGCCATGGCTGCACAGGAGTTACACTGGCTCACCTACCTGCTGACCAACTTTGGCGAGCCGCCTCGTTCTCCTCCAATTCTTGTACATCGACAACAAGGCCATGATTGCCTTGTGTCAAGAGCACAGACTGGAGCATAGGACAAAGCACATCGCTCTGTGTTTCTTCCTTCCTCGAGAGTTGCCAGCATGGACAGCTTCGTCTTGCTTATGTGGCCTCTCGGGCCAACACTGCTGATATCTTCACCAAGGCACTTCAGCCTTCTGATCATCAGCGTTTCTGGACTGTTCTAGGACTTGTGCCTACTTGGCCTGACTTGCTCACTTGACTTTGTTGTACTGTGATCTATATGCTTATACCTGCATGCTTGCACTTGCTAGGTTGTGATCACTGTATTGCTTGTTCTGCTTTATGTATCTCTGCATGTGAACTGGCCTTGTGGCCATTTGCTTGTGCTCAGAGTGTGTGGTGACTTCATGATCCACCCTGAGCTTGCTTTGCTTTTCTTGACTAGTCTTGTGACCCCTTGTTCTCCCCCACTTTGCCTATGGGGGTGTGTCAAACTCATATGCTACGTGTAGGTTGTAGTGGGGTAGCCCATATGGGGTACAACCCAATTAGGGTTAGTACTTGTACCCATCCTGCTGCTGGTTCATTCATCCCTGCTGTTAGTTCTTGACAGATAATATCTCAAAATGAGATAGAATTCCCAAAACTTGGAAATCTTGTAACTTGGGCCATCTTGGTCGGAATAAGGGGATCTTCGTATCGTTGGAAAGCTCTGGATTTCTCATGCATGGTCAAGCATGTAGACTTGGAGAATAAACACAGAGATGATAATATCCAACAGCCATGCACAATGACATATGCTCATGCAAATCATGCAAGCACAAATAGCACGAGCACTCGGCATGACGTTAGGATGACATGCTTTTAGAATGATTTGCATCCAACAGTGTGCTTATTTCCTCCCCTTCTCCCTCCCATTGCCCCACATGCTCCCTCTCATTTCCCCTTTGTCTCCCTCTCACTCAACCCCCCTGCGGGGTTCTCATATCCACCCGTTTCTTGTTCCCCTCCCCCGCTTTATCCCGCTCATTGCCCTCCCTTCTCCTTCTCATTTCCCCTCCGTTCTCCCCCTCATTCCCCCGTTCTCCCCCTCATTCCCCCGTGCTCCCCCATCGCATACCCTTCTAACCCCTGCCGTACCCTCCGTCATGCATGCCCCCTCCTCTAGGGCGCCCACGCTCACTCCTCTGCCACCCACGCACAATCCCTTTCGTGCTGTTTAGTAACAGCAGCCCCCGTCCTCTCCCACATTGCAACCCTAAACTCCATCTACCCTCTGCTTCCCCTCTGTCTCCTCCCTTCTTCCCCCTTTTTGCGTTCACTGTCTTACAACCTTCTCCCCCCTCTCCCCTCTCTGCCTTACACTCTTCTTACCCCTTACCCCTCTCTTCCGTACACCATTCTACCCCCACCTTGCGTTCTCTGCCTTACGCCCTTCTTCCCCCTTTGGCCTCTCTCTTCCCTACACCCTTCTTCCCCATCTCCCCTCTCTTCCCTACTCCCTTCCACCCCCTTTCCCCTCTCCTAGTTACACCCTTCTTCCCCCACAATGCCGGCTCTGTCTTACACCGTGCTTCCCCCTTGTTCCTCTATTCCTTGCACCTATCTTCCCCCTTTCCCCTCTCTGTCTTACACCCATTCCCCCCCCATTCCCTCTCATCCTTACACCCTTCTTCCCCCACCATAAGGTCTCTGCGTTATGCCCTTCTTCCCCCTTTCCCCATTCTCTGCCTTTCACCCTTTTTCCCCCTTTGCCCACTCTGCTTTACCCCCTTCTTCCACGTTTCCACCCTTGGTGCCTTACGCCCTGCTTCAGCCTTTACCCTCTCGTCCCTACACCCTTCATCCCCCTCTCCGCTCTCTGCCTTACACCCTTCTACCCCCTTTCCCCCCTCTGCGTTACGCCCTTCTTCCCCCTTTTCCCCTATCTGTCTTACACCCCTCTTGCTCTATTCTCGACTTTGCCTTACCCCCTTCTACCGCCTTTCCACTCCCTCTGCCTTACGCCCTTCCAACCTTCCCTCTCTCTTCCCTACACCATTCTTTCCCCTCTCCCCTCTCTGCCTTACTCCCCCCTTTCCTCTTTCTTCCCTACTCCCTTCCACCCCCTTTCCCCTCTCCTCGTTACCCCCTTCTTCCCCCACAGTGCGTTCTCTGTCGTAACCCCCTTCTTCCACGTTTCCACCCTCGGTGCCTTACGCCCTGCTTCCCCCTTTACCCTCGCGTCCCTACACCCTTCATCCCCCTCTCCGCTCTCTGCCTTACACCCTTCTACTCCCTTTCCCCTCTCCGTCTTACACCCCTCTTGATCTATTCTCCACTCTACCTTACACCCTTCTTCCACCTTTCCCTTCTCTACCCCACACTCTTCTTCCCCCACCATGCGTTCTCCCCCTAATTTCCTGCTAAACCCCGAACCCTCTCTTCCCTACACCCTGCTTCCCCCTCTCTTTTCTCTGCCTTACGCCCTGCTTTCCCCTTTCCCCTATCTTCCCTACACCCTTCTTTCCTCTTTCTACCTGCTCTGCCTTACAATTTTTATCTCCCTTTCCCTCTCTGGCATTCACCCTGTTTCTCCCGTACACCTCTCTTCCATACCCCCTTCTGCCCCCACCTTGTGTCCTCTGTTTTACGCCCTGCTTCCCCCTGTCCCCTCTCTGTCGTTTGCTCTTTTCCCCCCTTCCCCACTCTGCTTTACCCCTTTCTTCCACGTTTCCACCCTCGGTGCTTTACGCCCTGCTTCCCTTTTCCCCTATCTTCCCTACACCCTCTTCCCCTTTTCCCCACCCTCCGTTGCCTCCTTCTTCCGCCTTTCCACCCTCTCTGCCTTACACCCTACTCCCGCCTTTCCCCTTCCTGCCCCTCTGCGCCTTCATCCCAGGTGCGCCCTCCCCTCTGCGCCTTCATCCCAAGTGCGCCCTCCTCTCTGCGCCTTCATCCCAGGGGTGCCCTCCTCTATGCGCCTTCAACCCAGATGCGCCCTCCTCTCTGCGCCTTCATCCCAGTCCTTGTCATATCCCTACTCTTGCTCATATCTTATCCCCTCTCTCTGTCCAGGCCTATTCCTACTCTTTGCCGTGTCCTACACCCTCTCCCTCTCTTAGCCTGTCCCACTTCACTACACATAAGTCTCCCCCATGCTAGGCACTGTCCGTTTCCCATTCTTTGTTCTGTTCCACCATATAATCTGATTTTTGGTGGATGATCCTGTTCCCCTTACGATGCTCGCTCTCTTCCCCGCCTTTCCGTACTTTGTCAGCAACTCTTTCCACCCAATCTGGAGTGCGGAGCAAATGACACCTCAACAAAGCACGGGCAGTGGCACGGCCAAGCGCATCCGGACTGGAGGGCCTGCTAGGTAACCCATTCTCTCTGTGATTATTACGCATTCAGCTCATAATCCCATGCAGCACATCCAGAAAGTGCAAGTTACATGTTTTGCCTCTCTAAGTGATGCGTGTCAATATTTTTGGCAGGCCACGCTGTAGGGCGCTCATACGTCGCCAGCCAGAAGGGGTACGCATGGTTTCGCAGGATGATATTGAAGAGAACGAAGACGGGAGCCAGCGTGGGAGTGCACCTGAAGCATTAGCAGTGGCTATTTGAACAAGCAGTGTACGGAGCACACCGACGCCTAGGACCGCTCGACGCATCCGTGTTCGCTCCGGTCTACCCCCGATTATTAGCAATCCGTTGTTTTGATGGTCGATCCATGAATTTGCAATGCGATTCCCAAAACAGCATAATGTGCTACGCAAGTGGGCGGCAGGATGGCAAGCATTTCCCTCTGAAGATAATGTGGGTCGTTTTGTAACAACGTACAGTGGAAAGCGTGATACGAGTAGCTTGTGGCGCAAACCTCGAGGTGGGCGTGGACGACGTGCTGGTGGAGCCGAAGAACCACCGATTCCGCTGTTACGTGGAGTATTCTGACTTGTTGGGGGACGAATCTAATGACGAGGTGGTTCTACCATGGCTGATATACGTAGTAATTGCTTCGTTGTACCCAAAGCCGGACACAGAGGGGTATTACGTGCGATGTGACAAGGACGGCGTGGTGTGGTTCAATGACCGTGACAAGATGGTGCCCGATGTGATTGACTTTGAATGTGATGGGATTGTTGGGTTCATGGGTAGTCATTATGGTGATAGCCAGTAAACGCATGATAGTTACCTCGACAAACAAGTTTGTTTTCAAGACCTAGTGACCATAACGAGCATTCACATGCCCTACACACTCGCATGCCATTGATGGTTGACAGATAGGCTGAAAAAAAGTAGGCATGGGGAGACATAGCGTCTTCGAACCACCTATGGGCTCTACATGGCTTGGTGCTAACGTGTCAGTCACGTTTGTCTTTTTAAATTTCATTGTAAAGGTAGCTAACGGGCGGGCAAAGATGCAGGGTTGAAAGAGGGTTCCTGCAAACCTGAAAACCATCAGAGAGCGCTGGGTCAAGACATGGATGGGAGGGGATAAAGGGCGAAAAGGGAGAGGGGGGATGGTGGTTGAAGTAGGGATATGCGCGAGGAAGGCCAGAGCAAAACGTTTGGGTAGAGGAAGAATATTGGAAGGCAATCACGGTACATTGATACATCACACTTCGAGCCTCTGTAATTGAGAAGAATGAAACGTGGATGAGGTGCCTTGGGATGCACTTTAGGGGAAGTGAGGCAAGAGTGCAAGAAGAAAAGACACGGAGACGGGGGACCATAAGGAATGAATGGGGGGATGGAAGTGGTGTTAGGTGGCGTGGTGGTGCGGCAAAACTTGATGGTGTCGGTGCTGCTGGATGGGGCATGAGGGGGAGGGTGAGACTCTGTCAATAAGAAGGTGAGGGGAGAAAACATCAGCTCTGCGCCTTCATCCCAGGATCACCCTCCACTTAGGAGTGGTGTGGGGGGTGGAAGGCAAGGTGCCGAGCAGGAGGAGCAAGGGAGGCAGGAAGGCGCAGCAGGCAGCAGGCAATGCAACCATTCAGACATGAGCTGAGGGGCAGTGCGACCGACCAAGCAGGAGTAGGAGGCGTCGATGGGGCGGTGGTCACGGGCCATGGTGGCATGCTTGAGTTTCAACACGCCCTCCGGTATCAGGGCCGTGCCGAAACGGGCTGAGCACGTGGGGTAGACACAGTCGTACATGTCTGCTTCCTGGGCAGAGCCCACCAATGGCGTACCTGCAAGTGAGAAATGGTGCAGAGTAGAGCCCAATGTTGCATGCTGCTCACCAGGTTGAATCATCTGACGTTGGAGACGTCTCCTGCAAACAGCACAAATGGAGGTCAATGGTTACAACTGCATGTAAAATGCACACTCACAACATTGCAAATGTACTATCTACTTGCATGTATAATGCACCAAATTGAGCGTTCGTGACATATGGGGGGACTTACCAAAGAGTGTGCATCGAGGTTCAGATGATCCACTTGTGATGATACGCCTTCGCTTGCTGGGTGGCTAGGGAGTGGAAGGAGCAGCAGCACTGGCGTTGGCTCCAATTGGACTCGTCACAGGATCAAGTGTCATGCAATTCCAATCTCGCATTATGTCGTCTACCCAGGTCCAATCCATAGGCCCTAAGGTCCGAGAGGTCTTACCTCCCTAGTTGCACCCTAGCTGCACGCTGCATTCTAATTTTGGTGGCTTGGACCTCTCGCTCCAAAGAATGATTCCAGTGCATGACAGGCAATCCAACCCTTGCGTGCATGCTTCCGCGAAACAAGGTGCGCTTCGGAACGTACTTGCAAATCAATGAATGAAATGACTCATTCATCCGATTGCACTCCCCACTCACGTAGGGTTTCATCTCATCGGGCCCACAGTTCTTGCTCAACCACTTCTTGAGAGCAATGTGCGTGCAGGAACCAGGCTTATACAATGCGCTTTCAGCACCCCAATTCTCTCTCACGCATATTGGCCTCTCCGAACCCCGCCCACAGTGTGAATGATCTCCAGCCCAATGGTCGGCCGCAATAGCAATCTCCTCAACAACGTCATGAGCCGACATCGGCGTGCCCGCTCGCCAGAGTGTAGCACAACGAGCCATCACATGATGGAAGTGTACGTTGAATCGCTGTGCAACGGTCATCTCCTCGATTACCCCTTCCTGATCCTCGCCATCTTCCTCAAGCGAATTATCTGCTCCCCTCTTCCCACTACGAGGTCGCTTATTCACCCAGCGTCGTGGTGGACTGGACGGCGTAGTGTTGCCCTCCCCTCCCACCGTGGTGCTGTCACCATTTGTACCTTTGGAAACAATTGTTTCGGGATGGGGGTTTTGATATTATTTATTCAACGCAGAGGCACACAAATTGTATCCAAGTAGAGCCGTGGATATAAGCAAAGCGAAATACAAATACATCAAGTAGTTGTTTTGCTCGGGCCTCACCTGGCGGTCCCGAAGTTGAGATGGTTCGTGTCGCGGCACCCGTTATGCCACAAGTTGCATCGGCATGGTTTGACGCAGCTGCCTGCATGAGGAAGAACGACACCACAGAGCTTGGCCGCACTCCATGCTCTGGATGGGGATCGTATCCCCACAACTCTCCCATGTCGGAGTACTGATGATCCGGCCCTCCTGGATTAGCTGGCCTCTCTATAATACCATCATCCAGACTATCAATTGCAACAAACCCTTTTAGCGCTTCATCCGTGACCCGTTTATCCCCACCTTCAATGTGCTGAGATTGTGCAACAGGCACATCCACTACCTCTCGTGACAAACCCTCCATCATGCAACACCCATCAGGACCAACCGACGTGCCATCAGACATTGTGCGGGTCGAACCTCTACTGCGCCCACTCCGCACGTACGCTACATGTCGCATCTTAGGGTACAAGTACGGTGAGCTATCGCCGGAAAGATCCACAAAGGTCCAGCCCCGCACACGACAAACAGCACCAATCAATTCTCTTTTTAGCGCTTTGTGTAGACCCTTAAGGCCATGGCCTGGATGATTTCGCAACCATGCCCTGGGATCATCGAGCTTTACATCCCACAAAAAAATCTCAGTGTTTTTCGCGTCTTTGGTGGATAGTGCGGCCTTTCGTGCATTCACAAAGTGCTTCACAAACTTCCGTGATAACGAACGACCTTTGTGCCACACGTCTATCTAGTGCTTGAGGCCTGTCTTGATGATTACGGCCTTGAAACTTGCCCCGTCATCACTGATGATACCTTTCACCGAAAACCCCCAATTTTCGAGGTCTTCTAGACCCTTAGAGAATGTCTGAGCTTCTAGCTCAGTCGACGATACCTTTAGCATAGTCCTTGACACCGCCACACAGTGAAGTATCTTACGTGACCTGGGATCCATAAATGGAACACTGCACCACTCCGCCTCTCGTGGTTGGCCCCACCTTCCGTCAACACACACCTAATAACCACGTTCTCTCCGAGCTAACATAGCTGCACGCACCACTTTCATGCTCTTGTTGGCATGTCCAACGATCTTCTCCTATAGCCCACCTACCCCACTCATGTACATGTCGAAGGTTCTCTTACATGGGATAGGCAGACCGAGATTCCTACCAACCTCCGATAGCACAATATAACCAAAACCCGCTAGAGCAAAAGACGCAAGGAAGTGCTGTAACAATGGGAGACGTTTCCTTCTTGGCTTGTCGGCCGTGCAACCCAGTGGCTGACGATCCACTGACCACATCGACATTGATTTTCCACACTTATCACAGCTCCAAACCATTCCAAATGCAGCCCACAATAGTTTCCAGGAGCGCAACCTCATCGAGCCTCCACATCTACCTCCAATGGTGCAATGCAGTGTCACAACCATGAAGAACCGAATGATGTGTACTGGGCTCAGCAAACACACGACGTCCCGCAGTCCGTCAAGTGTTGGGAGTGCCGGCCATTGTCCGGGCGAGGTCTCGATCGGGATCGCATGATCGCGTGAGTTCCTAATGAATGGGAGAAATGGGGTATATAATCTGATATTGAATTGTGGAGTGGGATATGAAGCGGGAGCGAAGACTACCTGGGTTGGGTTGGGATGCAGTTATATTGGGCTTTAGGGTACTACCTGGGCTAGCAAACACCATCATGGGTTAGATTGCATGAAGATGTTCTACCTTTACCTTTCATTTC